TGTAACATCTTTTTTGGTTGTGCTAGTCCAGTTTGCCTAATTTTGCTAATGTGCTGTGAAAGATCAAAAATTTGAGTATGTAGTGTATATGATAAGAAATTGTGAATTGATGAAACTTAAGTAACACTTCATCAGCGTTCGAAGATACTGGTACTTAATCTTTTGATGGAAAATTTGCCTCCAAATTTGAAGCTGGAAAGTCACTGGAATAACTGAAAAAGAAACAATACGTAGTTTTTTAGATTTTTGGTACGTGTGTTAAAAATTGTGTACAAAGTGAAGTGTCTGTACTGATCCTCAACACAACCAATAAAATCTAAAATGTGGAAGACAGTTGTAAAGTATGTATGTGGTTTAAAGTCTGGTTTACATTTCATTTAGAGAAATTCTGTATTTGATCCTTATGGGAGATTGGGTTGAACCCAAGGCCTTTGCATGGAGCTACCTCTCCAGCAGCCCCCCCCCTTTTATCTTTTCTTTGGTTCCAGGGATGGGACTCAGGATCTTGTGCTTTCGAGGCAGGCGGTGGAACCACTGAGCTAAATCCCTGGCCCCTCAGCCCTTTTTGAAATAGTGTCTCACTTGTGATCATGCCTCAGCCTACCTACCAGAATGCTAGTTACAGGTGTGCATCACCACAAAGTTCTTTTTTAATTTGAAGGAATTAAAATTTAAAATGAAGTTTGCTTCGAGACAGTATCTGGCTACGCAGTTCAGGCCTCAAACAGTGATCCTCCTGCTTCAGCCTCCAAGTGCAGTGATGACAGGTGTGTGCCACCATGCCTGGCGGGCGGGATGGGGGGTCGCTGCAGTTGAACTCAGGCTTGCTGGCCAGACACTACCACTGAGCTACATTCCCCACCCGAAGATGAAGATGTTTGTGTGCCTTATTTTTCCTGGTGGTAGAGGTGGAAGCCAAGACCTCACCCATGTTGGGCAGGTGCTGTGCTCCTGAGCCGCATGCCCAGCCCCTGACTGCGGATTCATCAGAAACGGCCCAGTGTCCTGAAGTAAACACAGTTGGCTCTTGCTGTGAGGCAAGACAATATGTACAGCAAAGCTCCAGGCACAGTGGTTTTTAAGCTTGGGCCTCTGCGTGATGCTCAGGTTGGGCTCTCCTGAGCTGTCCTGGGCCCTGCTGAACCTCAGCCTGCAGCCTCCTGAGTAGCTGGGGCTACAGGTGTGCCTCACCACGGCTGGCTGGCAGATTATCTTCAGTACATATTTTCACCTGTGTCAAGCTGAATGTTTCCCCTCTAAGATCTTGAGAGGCGGTGTAGGGACGTGCACTGATTTCCAAACGTGGAAACAGTTTGCCTGGGGTACCACTAAGTTCAGGGAACTTGGGCCTTTACCCTGGACTTGGTGCTTCACTTGTGGACGACCTTCAGGGACAGTTGGCAGAGTAGTGAGGCTGCAGGGTTAGGTTAGCAAGTGGAGAACAGCTATGACCACCTGGGAAGGGGGGGATCAGTGGCCAGATCCCTGCTGGCTAGGTAAACAGTTGCTTTAATTCCTAGGTGTAGATAAGCTAGCTTTAGGTATGTAAATCAAAAGTCAGTTGGGCCAGGGATTTAGCTTAGTGGTTCTGCCAGCTGCCTCAAAAGCGCAAGGTCCAGAGTTCGATCCCCGGTACCAAAAAAACCCCCCAACTGCGATGTTTTCACCTCACTGAGTACCTTACAGCTTTTTTTTTGTACCAGGGATTGAAGTTGGGTCCTTGTGTTTGTGCAGCAGGTGGCGAAACCACTGAGCTAAATCCCTGGCCCCCTTACAGTTTTTTACACCAGAATCTGTTTAGCACCTGTTTGTAGCAGTTAAAGGGACACTACAAACAAGGGGGAAACCTCAGGAAGCCTGGTACCTGTTAGCTGTGCTACCCAGCCCCGCCTCACCCTCAGCATGGTACCAGTGCTTATCGGGCTCAGACTTCCTCAGTGGTTTGGACTCACTGGTAATATATTTAAGGAAAGGATTCGTTTTTCTCAAGCAAATGAGTAAGGGTCTTTTTAGGTTACAGATTGATACTTAAACCATAGAAAGTTGAATGGAAGTACCTCTGCAAGAGCCTCCCTTTTTTTTTTTTTTTTTTTTTGAGACAGGGTCTCACTATGCAGTCCATAGTGACCTTGAACTCACTATTTCGCCCAGGCTGGCTTGGAACTTGCTGTGATCCTCCTGCCTCAGCCTCCTGAGTGCTGGAATTACAGGCACGCACCACCTTGGCCAGCTATACTATATTTTTCAAAAAAAAAATCCCTCAACTGGATGTCCTCTTGGCCTGCCAAATGAGAACAATTTAAAAATTGCACTTTCCTAGCTGGGCCGGGTGAGGCACACCTATAATCCCAGTACTCTGGGAGGGTGAGGCAGGAGGATCCCTAATGTAGCAATTTAGATCCTATCAAAAAATAAAAGGGCTAGGGATAAAGTTCCATGCAAAGGTCCTGAGATTAATCCCCAGTATTATCAAAAACAAAAGGGCCTGGGATTTAGCTCAGGGTTTTGCCGCCTGCTCTGAAATCGCAAGGACCCACATTCAATCCCCAGTGCCGAAAAAACCAAACAAAAAACATAGCAAAAAAAAAAACTTTCCAGTACTTAGAAAATACACTTTCCCTTTCAACAGGTAGTTAGTTGGATTGACAAGAATGGTTGACTCAACAAATCATTATCAGATGCCTAAAGTGTACAGTACAAGGAAGATGAGTCCTTGATGTGAACTAGTTAAGACAGTCTAATTGGTTAATTAGGTAAACCAGTATTCCTGGCTTCTCAGAGGTTGAACTTGGACCGTTTTGAATGTGAGTTAATTGTGGGCTTTGGGTCGAAGGTGATGGTTCCTACACCGTGGACGCCTCAGGGACAGCTGTCTTGTGTCAGTGGTGTGCAGGAGATGCCACGCAGGGGGTCTGTGGGCACTGGGCTGTGGCCTGGGGTGTGGGGAGAAGTGGGGAAGAACTTGGGAAATGCAGGCAAGCTAGAAAAAGGTCAAGGACTTAGACAAGTATTACAAACACCCATTTCAAGGTAATGCTTTCTCCAGCTCGTATACTGAGGTGATGTCATTACATGACCTATTTTGTGCTCTTCATACTATGACCTTTCCCTGTCATTGCATTCACTTTGAAGGCACTTGTTAGGCTCCATAGCATTTAGACTTTTCTCTGCTAACTCACAGATGGAGCTGAAGGTAATCTGCTTATTAAACCTCCAGTTCAATGAATTTGCATGTGAGTAATTTAGGGATAATGAAAAGTTTCAAAATATTAAGATTAAACCGGTGACAGGAACAGTTCAGTGGCCACTGGATTTATTTTAAAACCGTAGAAGTTAGGATTAGAGTTTATAAAACCTAAAGGGTATTCAATTTTTAATCCCAGGAACTATAAGTAATTATTTTAGGCATGCTAGTGAATTTTCTTCATACCTGTTTGAGTTGTTTTTTGTTTTGTTTTTTTAGTGTTTTGAGTTCATTTTTGTTTGATTTTTTTTCTTTTGAGGCAGGGTCTCCCTTTGTAGTCCAGGCTGGCCCTGAAGTCACTATGTAGCCCAGGCTGGCCTTGAACTTGCAGTGATCCTCCTGTCTCAGCCTCCTGAGTGCTGGTAAAAACTTACTTTTTTTTTTTTTGGTACCAGGGATCAAACACATTGCCAGTTCTGCCCCATCCATGTTATCTGAATCAAAAAAGAATGGATATATATTTTTAAATATCTATAAATAAAAAGTTAAGGGTGGGTGTGGTGGTGCACACCTGTAATTGCAGCATCTGGGAGGCTGAGGCAGGAGGATCGCCTTGAGTTCAAGGCCAGCCTGAACTGCATAGTGAGACCATCTCAAAACAAGCAAAAACAGACAAGATACAAGTGAACAAATGCACAGGAGAAAACATTTACATGAGGAATGAAAAATATTAATTTACCTTTGTAGTTTTAGGATACTTTGTCAGGATTGGATACAGATTCAATTAAAGAGAAATCTGTTATTTTTTTAAAAATTTAATGTGCAATGTGTTGGGTTTAGTTCTTTTATTGGTACATTTTAGGTAAACAATTCGTTTACATTTATCATTGGGTGTTTGTACCTGTACATGATGTATCTTGGTTCTTATTTTTTTTTCCCCATTACCTGTGCACCCTTCACCCCCTCTGCCCTTCCCTATTTACCTAAATTTCATTTCCATTTTTTTTTTCTTTTCTCATAGTTTTTCCTTTCCCTCTTTTCCTTTCCCCTTTCCCTCCCTTCACTCCTTCATCTTTGGACCTTTTTTCCTATTTCAAATTATCAATTATTCATTTTAATCATTTTAACCCTTGTTTACACTATCAGTTTCTCACACTAGAGAAACTATTCAGTATTTACACATGTGTGTCCTATTTATTTCACTTAAGAGTATCGCCTCAATGTGCATCCATTTAGCTATAAATGACTCTAATTTTTTGTTCTTTATGGCTGAGTAGTACTCCATTTTATAAAAAAACAACATTTTCTTTATCCATTTTCCAGTTGATGGGCACTTGGGCTGCTTGTGCAATGTGTTTTAGCTATCTTCTGAATCAGTTCTGGAGTCCTGTTTCCTGCAAATGTTTAGTTGCGCTGTCCTGGCTGCTTGAATGTCCTGAATTGATTCAAAGTGTTTCCCTTTCATGGTCATTTTGCCTTTGGGGAAAAGCCGGAAGTCACACTGTGCCAGATCCGGTGAATAAGGTGGGTGAGGACACAGCCTCCTGTTTTCACCTTTCTGCTGAATGGTGCTCAGCAGCAGCATTCACTGTATTTTTTATCACATCTCATTAAGACACTCAGGAAAGAGGACTCCAGAGCTGCTGCAGAAAGCAGCTAGAACAGTGGAATGGCCAGGAGAGGATTTTGAAGGGGATTCATGGCAATGTGTCCTTTACTGTAATCCTTTTTTTTTTTTTTTGGTACCGGGGATTGAACTCAGGTCCTTGCACTTGCGTAGCAGGCGGTGAAACCACTGAGCTAAATCCCCGGCCCTAGTTATCCATTTTTTAAAACATGAATATGCACCATGTATTTGATCGCGCTGTGTATGTGACAGAGCTGTAGCAGACTATCTACAAAGCTGCTAAAATTCAAGGTCAGTTTTACCCAGCTAAATTTATAGTTTCCATTGAAAGATTATGTTTCCCCAATTGGTAGTACAATTCTCCCCCAACATCTTATTAGAAAAGTTTCACACATACAAAAGAGTTTTTTTTAAATGTATAGAAGACATTTGTGTACCTGCCACCTTGAATCTACAAGTCCTACCGGTATTAAACTTGCTTCATTATGTCTGTTTCCTCCAGCCACCATCAATCCTACGTGT